TGCAACCTTCTTCCACAAGGGGAAAATAAAGCTGGAACATCACCTGACCAAGTGCATTGCGGTTAGAGAGGACTATATTAAAAAATAGTGTAAGAAAAATTTTACTGCCCTGACGTTTTCTAGGTGAGGCCGAGAACTTTTTGAACACCCCTCGTATATACCTCATGACTTTATTCTTACTTGTCATGAACCACAGTTATTCGGTTCATTAATTTTGCTATTTTCAGACCAAAATATAAATTTTGGGCGTTTGTATCAATAAATCCTAAATGGCCCAAATCTGTGTATGGTGATAGCATTCACAAATAAAATTTAAAAAAAATTAATAAATGAAAAAAAATAATTTATTGATAATCTGTAGTTTCTACAATTACTTATTAGAAATCAAAATAGAAAATTAGGCTATTATAAGGTACAGACATCTAATACTTGTAATGTTTATCATTCCAGCCAGTGAACACAGTCTTCATTACAGGGCCAGTCAAACAGCAGGAACTACCTTCAACTTCACAGTCCAGGCTTCCTCCCCAGGCAGATCGTCCATCCAGGCATCACAGGCTGTGGTTTTCCAGGACAACAGGGCTTGTGGGTTGGCCATACGGTGAGAACAACAGCTAGCTATCAAGGAAAATTGGACGTTTACTGAAAGGCAATCTCTACCAGGGAAACAAATGAACTACATGTACCCTTCCTGGCCTCTGCTTACAAAGACCCTTGTCATATTTCTTATGTGATGCAAAACCTGTTACCCTTCTTTCTCTGCCCAAGACTAGCTCTTCTGGCTAGGGAAGGGGAAGTTTGAACTCATATATTTTGGGGTCCGATGAAAATGGTTGCTGATTGCACTGAAACAGACAGCTGTCACCATAGTACTGTTACAATGTAGCAAGTGGCAGGAAAGAAGGGCTGGTGAACGTCATGTAATTCACCCAGAGTTGTTTGTAATTGTACTTCGAAATGCTAAAATCGATTTGCTGTGACGTGATTCAGTACATTTGCCAAAACAAATTTCCAACCGACCGTAACAAAAACATGCCTAGGCTCTCTGGGGTCATTGGAAAGGCTTCGAAGGTAAACAATATCAAAATAACAATTTCAAATATTATTTTACACATCTTTAATAGCATATTTTATTGAGTGTATCGGCCGAAATATCCATCCCTCTCACGTTAGCAAACAGAGGGATGAGTCCTGGAGACAGTCCTTGTCCTGACGTATTTCCCTTTTTGTTCAACTTTTGTTCATAATTTGTTTAACTAGATCACTTAAAAAAAACCATAGGCAGTACAAAAGGTACTGTTGCAGTTCTAAGGCCAGTCACCAATTATTTCTTTGTCCTTCAATGATATAACTCGTATAGCATCAGATTTGTGCTCATATCTCACTTATCACTTGCATTTGTCCTTATGTTTAACTGTAGCTGCATCAACAATTGCGACTGGTCAAACACAAACCCATCAGAGGATCTAGTGCTGGAGGCTGTTCCAGGTAGCAATAACACCCCATTGTATGAGTGGTCGGTGGTAGAGCACCCCTCGGGCTTTCCCGGCCTCCAGATGAGCAGTACTGAACCAGAAGTTATCATTGCAAGCAACACATTCCATGTAAGTATTTTTCAGATGTCAACAAAGCTTTGCTGTTACCACGACTGTAACTATAATGAGGAATACTTTTGTCAGGGTCTGTAGTTGGAAAAAATATTACCTTACGATATGGATGCAAGACTGCATTTTTTGTTCCAGTTATCCTCCGTTCTGGTTGCATCTTAGGTCTAGATTGTACACTGTTTTTTGAGAGCCGATAAAAACAAAATATCAACCGCACTGATATAGAGACCCCCAAGAGGTCCATTTTTTAACTTGACCTTGGTCTTGTCAACAGTGCATTGCCTATCAAAAATGTTAAACCATGCACAATATCGAACTGACATACAATCAGAAAACAGAATATGATAATGTCTAAGCCCCGTTGTGCTAGTTTTTGTAGTCACAGATTTAAATTTTGATCTTTCTTATTTTTCGGGTTGTACTCAAATCGATTACCAAAAATCATCTCAATGACATTGAGCGATGTATTTTCACATCATGCGGATGTAGATACAACAATTATACTCCAGAGTCTCCATTGCACATTCTCTAATGTGTACCAATGTCCCCACTTGCAGGTGTCAGGAAGGTACATTCTGCGTGTGGTCAACCGCAACAGAGTCTGCAGGGATGGCCTGGCAGTGTCAGAGTGGACGTTCACAGTCTGGGACCCCCCTGCTCTGCGGAACAAGAATCTGTCTACCCCCTGTGTGATAGAGCGTGCAGGGGTAGGCGGATGTGTCTGCTGCGGAGGTCGGTTTGCCCAGTGCCATGTAATGTGAACTGTACCCCTGTGTGAAATGTGCCTCAAAGCGTTGTTCCAGACACTGAGACTGCAAACTGTTCCCCATTTTCATCACAGGGATATTGCTGGAATGGTATAAAAAGAAACTGCTGGACACATGGGTCTTCAATGAAAGAAAAAAGTCATAACATTAAGTCCAAAATTTGCTAGATCCATGTTAAACATAACTTCTCCCGGTTAATTCTTCTACTACAGATTTTTTGTATGACAATAACCTCACACAGTTCCTTTTTTCAGTGAGACCTTTCAAAGCACTCAATTAAAAAAACAGCTTTCAGTGGTTACATGACTTTTGAGATTTTGGCAACACATCAGTGGCACGCCTAGTAGTAATAGTACTGTATTACTAATCAACACGGAAAATTCTATTGATTCCACTAGACTTTACTTGGAGGACGAGGAGGATGACAGCTCTTAAAAATGACACCCAACAGCACAAACAAACACATTCAGGCAGTATTGAGTTTTTCTATCTGGCATCCTACTAAAGCTAAAGCGTTGTACTCTATAAACAGATGAATCAACTCCGTTTATTAATTCGCAGGCAGTAAAAACGAAATGCAATACCGTACATAAATGTTTGCAATACCAAATGCAACACCACATACATATACAATTAACATTCAATACAGTTTTTATTGTCTGCCTTCTTTTCACTGTTGCAGAGTTCGTTGATGGCCCCGGCCATATTGACGTTACCTACAAGTTTCGACACATTACATCGTCTGTGGATGTAGAGAAAGGCTCGGTCCAGTTCCCACAACATGAACCTTTTCTACAGGCATCTCTTCTCCCACCTTATCTTAGCCAAGTAAGGGTCAGCATAATATTTGATGATCATAGTTTACCACACATGTGGAAGGGGTATCAGAGAACAGATCTGATCACAATTACTGGTCCTTACCCTGGCATAAAATACAATAATAATAATAATAATAATAATAACTTTATTGCAAGACCATGCCCGAAGTCGTGGGATATCAGAAAGAAACTTTGTACCTGTTTATAAACAGTCGTGTAAGATTGCTGTATAGATCTACACCTAATGTCGTTCAGAGAAACGTTATGGCGCAAACCACTTTATCCGCTCAAAGATTTGACATAAAGGCTCTCAATAGTACCTAAGTAATGGATCATATATGCCGCCCATTCTGTTTTTTTACTCAGTTTAATCAGTAATATTTCTCAAATACAAATTCAGCAAGTGATTCTGTATCTGAAATTATATTAAAGGTTCCGTGGTACTGTCCAAGGTTCTTTCCCCCAAAGGACTTCATCATCGAGCTGGAGGTTATCTCTATAGATGGGAGAGTTGCAGCATTCAACATCACGGGAGACACTGGGGTAAGTCTTAGCTTATCTATGTTGGTAAATCATCAATTCTGAAACAGGTTAGAACTGTGCTTTTCAACACAAAAGTTGGAAGTATCCAAATTTTTGAACGTTAAACTCCAGTCTTTGTGTTCTATCTGCATTAGGTTAAGTCACATAAGCTAAAAGCTGTAGATTGCTTGTTTCATGAGAAAGACTGAAAATGAATTTTCTGTTTGTACAGGGGGAGATTCTGGATTTGGATGACCTGTCACGGATACAGCTTACAGACCTCAATGATGTCATTGAACTTTCGTCCTTCCTAGTTTTGAACACCGCCGAACTGGACAAATTCTCCAAAAATGAAACAGTAGGACAATGTTTTGGAAATATAGGAATAATAGGAAATTTCCCTCCCTCCCTTCCCCTTTAACAAATTCAGTTTATTTTTTGATACTAAGCTCATTTTTGTTTCTGTAGAAATTCTCTCAATTAGAATGTAGGTCCAAAGTTTTCTCTATCACATGTGTTTAAAAGCTAGCTGACAGGTTGCCTTTATTTACATGCCAGTAAAAGCTAGCTTGAAAGTTTCCTTCACTTTTCTTAGTGCTCCTTTGTTTATAAATCCAAAGATAAAATATATGATATAAACAGACTACAAACTAGGCTGTTGATGTATAAAATCGGATACATATTAAATGTCACTGTCTTCCTGAAATTTACTAAGACACTTTCTTATCAAACTCGGATATCAACAGCCACCATACAAGATAGAGAAAGTATTTTAGGCCAATTAATGTAAATTTGAACCAACAACAATTAACAGACGTACAGGTCCGATGGTTTTAAACAACTTGAATATGCTTAAAAAGACATCGTGTCACTGTTCTACTATATTCAAAAGTTACAGTAAACCTGATTTTAAAAATTAGCCTACAGTTACCTAATTTACTACACGTCTAACTCTACATTTAATGTCCTTGCAAGAATCCATGTTATGGTACTGTGATCTTAATGTATTCTTTAATTTATTTATAAACCAAATTACATCTTTTGTTAAATTAATTAATTCAGATTGTAAAGAGCTGGTAAAGGGAAGCCTTTACATAAGCATAAGCTTTATACCCCCCCTGTGCTACCATAACTTTTTAATATTTCCTTGTTATCTATTAATTTAATTTCAAGTGCGACTGAGTAAAAAAATAAAGCAATCCTTGTAAAACTCTAAGCAGATATTTTCTTCCTTGCTTTAGCTACTGATTGTGAGAAGTCTAGAACTATCAGCAGAGACATTAGAGATGCTGGTAGAGGAAGACTCAACCGGTAGTATTCCAGTGTACGACATCAATATAGCATCTGTCAACATCTTCACAGGTACGTGAAAATACGAAATACTAATACTAACGAGTAAATACTAATAAAAACGAATTTCATCACTATCGTCTTAGTGACTTCACATTGGTCCTGTCCCTGGTGCTGAACTTACATTCACACTGACTACCCTCCTAGTGACTTCACAATGGTCCTGTCCCTGGTGCTGAACTTACATTCACACTGACTATCCTCCTAGTGAATTCACACTGGTCCTGTCCCTGAACTTACATTCACACTGACTATCCTCCTCGTGACTTCACATTGGTCCTGTCCCTGGTGCTGAACTTACATTCACACTGACTATCCTCCTAGTGACTTCACACTGGTCCTGTCCCTGAACTTACAATCACACTGACTATACTCCTAGTGACTTCACACTGGTCCTGTCCCTGGTGCTGAACTTCCATTCACACTGACTATCCTCCTAGTGACTTCAAACTGGTCCTGTCCCTGAACTACCATTCACACTGACTATCCTCCTAGTGACTTCACACTGGTCCTGTCCCTGAACTTACATGCACACTGACTATACTCCTTGTGACTTCACACTGGTCCTGTCCCTGAACTTACATTCACATTGACTATCCTCCTAGTGACTTCACACTGGTTCTGTCCCTGGTGCTGAACTTACATTTACACTGACTATGCTCCTAGTTAATTCACACTGGTCCTGTCCCTGGTGCTGAACTTATATTTACCCTGACTATCCTCCTAGTGACTTCACACTGGTCCTGTCCCTGGTGCTGAACTTACATTCACACTGTTTATCCTCCTAGTGACTTCACACTGGTCTTGTCCCTGGTGCTGAACTTACATTTACACTGACTATCCTCCTAGTGACTTCTCACTGGTCCTGTCCCTGGTGCTGAACTTACATTCACACTGACTATCCTCCTAGTGACTTCACACTGGTCCTGTCCCTGAACTTACATTAACACGGACTATACTCCTAGTGACTTCACATTGGTCCTGTCCCTGGTGCTGAACTGACTATCCTCCTAGTGACTTCACACTGGTCCTGTCCCTGAACTTACATTCACACTGACTATGGTGCTGAACTTACATTCACACTGACTATCCTCCTAGTGACTTTTCTTGTGACTTTTTGCAAATGATACATGTATATGATATCACGTACCTTAGTATTAAACAAGTATATGATGAGCTGAGATAAGTATCAGGATATATTAGGGTCTTGAGGTTGATATTTGCCTAGAATAGGAAAACATAAAATGAAACGACCAAGTAATCAAATTAATGCAGCCTTGTGGAGAAGGTAAAGAGTCAAATAAACAAACTAGCGTGGTTTAAATTGCTGATCTCGTTACAACTCGGGCATTGTGAGTGGCAGGGTGACTGAACAAAACAGGAAGATAGACCAGATGCAAGTTTGCACCGTTCCGTCAAAAGATCCCAATACCATATACCGTCTAATGTTGAAATGACTCTGTATACTTGGCCTTTCTTGGATCTTTAGAATTATACAAAAGTAATATGTATTTTGCGGTTTTTTTTGCGGTATTTTGCGGTGTTCTATAACTTGCGACATTATGATTTTACAAACTTAGTGTCATATACACGTAGTTTATCAATCTATGGCTGCGAGGTAGATCATAAGCTATAGCTTAGTACTGCAATGAGTGTTCTTGTTATAAAAAAGAAACCATCGAATTTCTTTCTCTTCTCTGTAGGATTTGCAATCCTGTTGGATTCTGTTACAACCTCTTCATGGGATGCTGAAGGGTCAGACTTACAAGAGACAGCTGAAGTTGTAAGACGTAGTCTTTGATGGTCATAGATATTATGTTGATGCTGTTTCAGAATTTTTCTGTTGCAACTCCAATTTGAAAGCATCACTAATCCAAGTTTGCTGAAGATATGTATCTTGAATTGCAAATTTCTAATACGACGTTTTTTTGCTATGTTATATCATATGTTGTGTCATGTTCCGTCAAAAGTTTTGTATGACAAAATTACACGTGATAATTGCACATAATAACTCTCTTGAGCACATTATACATGCCAGAATGCAGCACATAACACCTAATTCTAAGTCTAATTTCACAGAACAGAAAAACAGCCAGCACAGCTTTCAAGTCAATCAGCAATGTGCTTAACATGTACTACACCCTGATGCCGGTTAATGGGAGTGCCTCACTTGAGATGACATCGCTTCATGCCAAGGTCCTGAAGGAACCTTGTCAAGTTTCCAAGAAGAAGTTCACAGTCAACGACACCGTGTTTGTAGTCCCAGCATTCAGCACCCTCGGAAACAGCTCTGAGGGGGCAGATAGCTTTGGAGTGGAGGTGAGCACTTTTATAGGAATCCTTTGAAAATTTTAGAATCTCCTTCTTTTATTTATGAGAGCCTCCTGAGCATTTTAAAAGAAAATGTGAAAGATTGGTAGGAAAGATAGAGAGTACTAGTACTTGATTCCACTTTTGATAGTTGCAAATTACTAAATCAGCATTCCCCCCATCCCTTTTTCTGTCTTTATTTATCAACTGATTAACTGATAACACATCTTGTAAGTAATACAGGTCAGGTTAATAAGCCAGCCTGCAGCTGTTTTGTTACTTACAATCATTGTCATTGACCCATATTCAACAGAACAAAATTTAAAGTGTCGAGGAACAGCCTTTCATTCCACGGACTTCCTGAGCATTCTGCGTAGTCATAGTAGGATTTTTTATTATATAGAGCTTGTAATACAATGTATAATATCATGATTTATAAATTCTATTCTTAAAATATGCAATTTAAATGATAGCGAATGTTATATTACATTGTGCAGTGTCTGTTAAGATTTGACAAACTTCATGTAGCATTTGGTTTGTGACATGCAACTGTTTTTTAATAGAATTTAACAACAAACATATTTATTCTTCCCAATACTGTGCATTGTCTGCAGATAATCAACTCCGACTTCAACCCTTTCCGGTACTCGGAAAACTCCCCTGACATTGGTTCGGAGGTGGCAGGTCTGACCGTGTGGCAGGGACGAGACGGACGCCCGGTGCACCAGCTCCCAGACCCTGTGGACATGATCATCCCCAGGGACAAACAGCGCACAACAAGTACTGTGTTCAAGTACACAGGCAGGGTCAGAGGCAGTGACGACATCCTTGTGAGTCTGTCATAAAATCATTTGGTAGTTGCATGATTAAAGTTAAAACTTTTGTTTTAACACAAGATACTTGTTCCCACGTAGAGCGTTTGACTAGACACTCTGGTCGTCCCATCTGGTAAACGATGTCGACCCCCTGGTACCGTTGGCTCAGTGCTGACGTCACACGTCAGAGAAGCCACGTGACAAGCCTCGGTGGGTTAGTCTATTGAGGAAGACCAGAATGACTGGTCGAAAAGTCTCGTTGAGAACATTTGTGTTTGAAACAAACGTTTTTACTTTAAACACCATATGAGTTCTATTTATTTGTGTCTGTATCAGATGTGTAGCAGGTATAACTGCCCTTTAGCATAACTTGTGGACGTCACAGGCACGCAGCGCTGCAGCAGCTTGTTTCTCAGTTAAGGCGTGGACACAATCGTTGCGCAATTTTGTGTTACAGGACTTTTCGCCTTATAGCTTAGGCTTGGCTGCCACCATTTTGAGGACCCAAGTGTAGCCAATGAGACTGTTCTGTTTCATGTACATAAGTGTGCTAACACTATGATTGCCTGTGTGCAGGTTGTCCCCTTTCGGCCCCAGAGAACCAGGACTACACTCACCATCTTCCTCAACATCAACAGCAGCAGCCAACCAGACCTGGACATGCCACGCATGCAGTTGGTGTTGCAGAGGGCGTCACAGCCGACTGTCGACAGCTTTAAAACTGCCAAATGGACAGCTGTGCTGCCTGTTCCACAGGACCAACTGTACACACTACAGCTGCAGCACACATACAACAATACAATTCTGACGTCCAACCCGTACTCGTGGCTTCTGCCGCCTGAAGCTCTGCATGTTACAGAGTTGGACATACAAGACGAGACGCCGTTCTTCTTAGGTATGTCCTTGTTTTGCACATACAGAAACAACGAATCAGAGAGGGCAGATTTCACCCCCCCCCCACCCATACTGCCCAATTCCACAAAGATAGCAGCACTGAGGACGGATGGCAATGCTGCATTGTGTATGTTGGGAATCACAGAAAAGCACACACACACACACACACACAGGCACACACACACACAGATAGGCAAGATATGTGTAAAATGTTGGTTAGAAAACAAGCAACTTAGCCTGACTAAATTGCAGAAAGTCAATGGTTTGAAAAGTATTCTGACCTTTCACAAGGTTGTAGGTGCCTTAGTCAGCTCAATGAATGATATTTGCTTTCTTCCAGGTGTGAAGTATGCTGGAGAGGACACCAGTGTCACAGTGTCTATATTGGAAAGTGCATGTGTCTACTTCGGAGAGAACTCCTCCCACCTATGGGAACATGACGGATGCGAGGTAAGTGTTGAAGATCACTACTGAAAAAACTAACATAACTGATCACTGACAGTTAACTAATACAAAACTTCGATGTTTGCTTTATCCATGAATTCTTATTATTTTGATAGTTCAGTAATGTGGAGCGTAGCGTAAGCGTAGAGACTCACATACTCAAGTTTCCTTATGTCAAGGAAAAATGACATCTAACACTTTCAAGGCAATCACATTCAGATGTCATATGGGCTATCGCACTATTTATATCCGAAATAATTTCAGGTTGGTAGAACATAGGAATTTGAGAGTTTATTTTTACACAACTGCCAAAATTTCTCACCTGCTTACCTTTCGATGTCTATCAGACATCTTCCTCAGATCTTCTGACTGGAGTACTGCTCCTCGCCGCTATATGTAGCCAATCTAGGTTGCGGTGTTGTGTTGAGATCACACTCCCAAACATGGCTGAGTTTGTATCGGCTGGATCAATGATCCGTCTGGGTAAGGAAGTTCAGTGATGAACCGGGAATAAGGGCATACAAACTCAGCCATGTTTGGGGATTGTGTTCTCGCCAAAAATGTGCCACCTACATTGGCTACATGGAGGCGAGAAGCAGAACTCCAGTCAGAAGCTTTGGGGAAGATATCTAACAGACATCGAACCAAAAGCAGGTGAGAGATTTTACCTTACCTTAGACCTTAGACCTTAGTTCCTCCTGTGCCAATGGCACATCGGGCAGCAAGCTTCCACTTCTTTTTGTCAGCGGCCACTGTCTCCGCCTCCTCCCAGGGGATGTTTGCCCTTCTTAGATCGTCTTGGAAGGTCCTGCGCCAGGTGTGTTTCGGCCTTCCCCTCTTTCTTCTGCCGTTGTGGGGTACCCAAGTCATCGCTGTCTTAGAGTGCCTTCTGCTGGGCAGACGGAGGATATGTCCTGCCAACTGCATCCTTTTCTCTGTTATGATGGTACTCAGAGGCTTGGACATGGCCCTGTTCAGGATCTCATCGTTCGTTATGTGATCCTGCCACCTCACCTTCAGTATCCTCCTTAGGTTTCTCTGGTGGAAGGCGTCTAGCTTTCTGGATGCTTTAGCTGTACATTTCCAGGTTTCGCTAGCGTAGATTGCAGTGGGTAGGACAATACTGTTGTATAGTCGGAGCTTGGTGTCAAGGTTGATGGTGGTTGCTGACCAGATGGAGTTCATCCGTCGGAACACAGAAGCTGCTTTCCCCACCCTACAGTTAATGTCAGGCTCTACTTCTCCGCTGTTACTGATGACACTCCCAAGGTAGGTAAACTGATCCACGACCTCTACCTGGCTGTTGTTGACAGTGATGTTCAGTCGAGGTTGACCTGTGTGGTTTCCCACCTCCATTGCCTTGGTCTTCTCAGAACTCACCCGTAGCCCAACTTTTCCAGAAGAGGTCTCCAGCTTCGTGGTAAGGTGCTGTAGGCCTTGGTTATTCTCGGAGAACAGAGCAAGGTCATCTGCAAAGTCTAAGTCCGCAAGTCTGGACTCTTCCCTCCACCTAATGCCCTCCTTCCCGTCTCCAGTGGTCTTCCTCAA